TAAATTAAAATTTAAAATAAATTACTATAAAATCAAAACGATTATATTTACCAATAATGATTTAATTTTTGTTATCATCATATTTTATCACTATATAATTTATTTCCTATATTAAATAAAAATTACAAACGTGTATAAGAATATTCTCAATGTAATATCTACGGTATATTACACTAGGTATTTATAGCATTAAGTGCATTTGGGACATTTGAGGTATGCATACAATTTGGTACATTTGGTACACTTTGGTAATACTTTATTTATTTAATATTAATTGAATAATGTTTGATATATTATAAATATGAATTATTTAACATACAGTATCTACTATACTACTTTCATAATAAAATGTACCACAAACTTGTAAATATTTATGAACATTAGTACGTAAATACTTGAATAAATGAATATATTATATTTGCCTTTTACTACTATATATTAAATAATATGCATTTTCTCAGTCTTCAGTATTTATACTAAATACAATTAATGAACAAGGTGTGTATTCAATAATACAATATAAATCATTCAAATCCCTTATTTTGAAGCATACAAAATTAACTGAAACTAAATCATAAATTATTGTCAGGTATTTGATAAATAATGAATTCAATACTCGTTTCTACAATACATAATAAAAGTAAAGAATTGAATAAAAGTCGTCAAAAGATTGTGAAAAGGATTGTTAAACCAAATAATAAACGACACACTAATCAACGAAATACTAATAATAATAATAATGACAAAATAAAATTGTATACACGTATTGTAACTACATTACTGTGTTTGTGTGGATTTATATTACAAACAAAATTACTAATAACACAATATATAAGTGGAAAGACATTCGTAAATACAAGGGTTGAAAGGCTTAAAGAAAATCCGGTGCCGGCGATCACTATATGCTATCCAACATTCATATCAATGGATAAATACGCCAATTATTATCCAAACCTAACAAAACCCTATTATAGAAATGAAAATAATAATCATTTTAGGTTATTCAGAAATTACACAAAAAGTTTACTTCAAAGCATTGAATTTGTCGACGATTTAGAGGAAATTAACTCAACATTTCATAAATATATTGAAATCTACAGCAATGGCTCTAAAGCTGAAGTCAAATCTTATCTTAAATTTCTTATGCAAAATGTTAACACTATTATTGAGTCAAATGGCACTAAAAGTAAGATTATCTCATTTCTTAAAAAGTTTATTATTATTAATAAAGAATATGAAGTAAACAAAAATAATGTTAACATGAAAACATTGGCTCAACTCAATACAGAATATAAAGAATTTATATTAAATAATTCAAATGATGATAATTTGAATTCTACTTTATATAAAAATTACTATGCTCATTTTGAGAACTTGCTATTTTATCAATTTATGATTAAACAATCATCCACTATTTATGAAATGTTTGAAAACTTAAGTTTTTCTTTAAATAACCAAAAGGTTGTATCAGTGATAGATAAGATAAAAGGGAAAGTTATATACGACACTCAACCCATTGAGACAATGACATCGGTGTATAAATTCAGAAAATGTTTTACATATTTTAGTCATTTAAATCCTAAATGGCATAATTTGTCAACTAACATCAAAAAATTATTCATACGAATACCACATAATTATAAATGGTTTCCATTATCACCAGAATTATCCGACTATCATATAAGCCTTCACTCACAGAATATTATACCAGAATTTAATAAAGAATTTTTTGTAACAATAAAAATGCCTTCAAAAATACTAATAACATATTATGCAATAGAGACCCGGCTACTAAAACATCCGTATGCAACCAATTGTCAAGAATATGATTTAAAAGACAGGAAGAGTTGGCAAAACTTTCGTAGCGATTGTTTGTCCCATTGTATTGACTTATGTCTGAAAA